GTACCTGTCCAAATGACTTTTAAATGATGCAACTATACCTGCAACCACAACTTCTGTTAGTACATTCCATATACGCACCACCCTCTGTGGGAAAAATTGCCCCTCAGGTCCCTGTTAAATCTGTCCCCTCCCACCTGAAAACTATGACCTCTAGATTTCAATTATCCTACCCTATAGGAAAAAGACGTTTGCTCTTCACCTTACCTATGCTTCTCATGATTTTATAAATTTCTATAAATCGTCAACCCTCAACCTCCTATACTTCAGGGAAAATATCCCAGCATATCCAGCCTCCCTTTATAACTCAAGCCCTCTAGTCCCAGTAACATCCTTCCAAATCTTTTCTGCACCCTTTCCAGTTTAATGCCAAAATCCTTCCTATAGCAGGGCAACCAGAACTGAACACAGTACCCCAAAAGTGGCCCTACCAATGTCCTGTACAGCTGTAACATAATATCCCAATTCCTATATTCAATACTCTGACCAATGAAGGCAAGCATGACAAATGTCTTTTTCACCACTGTCTACATGACGGCACTTTCAAGGGACTTTGCTCCTGAACACCTAGGTGTCTCTGTTTGACAACACTCCCCAGGGCCCAAACATGAATTGTGTAAGGCCTGCCCTATTCAAACAAGAATAAGTGTTCTCCTGATGTTCTGGCCAACATTTACCCCTCAACCAACACTTTGAAGAACAGACCATCTGTATTTTTGTTTTGTTGCTAACTATGGGAGATGGTGTATACAATGACTGTCATGCTTCCTACATCAAAATATTTCAATCACTGACTGTTTGGAACTTTGAGATATCATGCTGGAACAAAAGCTGACATATAATTCTGGCTTTTTCTCCCTCACCTAGGTTAAAACTATAAGATGTAAGAGGAGCAGAATATCAGACAGCCCTGCCATTTATGATTATGGTTCATCTTGAACTCCCAGTTTCCTGCCTAATCCCTGTGCTATAATTCCTTTGAAGGCAAAAGTCTATCAATTTTAACCTTAAATATACTCAGCACCTGAGCATTCACAGCTCCCTGGAGCAGAGAATTCCAAAGTTTTCCAACTCTGAGTGAAAGAATTTCTCTTCAGATCAATACCTCCAAATATACCTCTTATCCTGAGACATTGTACTGGTCCAGTTTACACACCCATCTCTTTTCTGAGGTCTACCCTCTTCTCCCACCATTCTAGCTGGTGAACCTTCCTTACTTTCCCAACCTCCTCTCCCCCCTCACCCCCGACAATGCAAGTTTACTCTGAAAAATAGTCCAGATAAAGTATTCTAACAAAAATAGAAATTGCTGGAGAAATTCAGCAGGTCTGCCAGCATCTGCGGAGCGAAAGTAGAGTTAATGTTTTGGGTCCAATGACCCTTTTTCAAAACTAAAGGAGTGAACTGAACATTAACTCAGCTTTTTCTGCACAGGTGCTGCTAGACCTCCTGAGTTTCTCGGCAATTTCTGCTTTTTGTTTCAGATTTCAAGCATCAGCAGTTGTTTGTTTTGTTTATCTAAATCTATTTTACACAGGTTATATAGCTCAGTAACCAGTAATCATTGGTGTTTTAGCCATCCTGAAATATGGTTGACTATTTAACAACTGAGGGTACGCTTCAAAAAGGTGGTAGCATATCCAGAGAATTTGAGAGATGGCATATAAACATTAACATATTTAAGGAAGCCAGAAGATCTTTTTGACAGTGATGCAAGTTAGTTCCTGAAGTAAAACTTAACTGAGATTAGGAAAAAGACACATAATTGAGAGATTTGTAGTCGCTGTCGGCCAGAACTAACGCTTTGTGCAGTTAGTTAAGGGAAGGGATTTATATCCACGTACAAAATTTCTTTACCATAAAAAGAAACACAGTCAGTTTTTAAAAGGCTAACTATCATGGCACAATACTAGTAATGTAGCAGAAAACACTGATGCCATATCAATGTGCACACATCGCTGTTTATTTCGATGAACAGCACGAACCGCCTATATAATCAGTGGCGCCCTCTGGTCAAAACCTGGCGATAATACAAACATGTTATTTTCGTTTCAGGTTTCACAGCATTTATTGAATTCTGAAAAAAAGAGTGCTCGGCGCTGTAGCAATAATAAAGCAGCACACAATGATCACGTCAAATGTTGAGTTCTTTTATCACAACTAATTCCAACAGAACTATGTTTTAACAGATGGAAATACATTAACGTCCACGATTCGTAAATATATAGAAAGATCTCTGACAATGACACACCGAGAATAATAAAATTGAACCTAGTCAAATATTTAATCACGATCGTAATCACAAAGTGATCCTCAAAGATTAATCAGAGATTATGACATAGGTAGACGAGCGTTTATGATGTGATCTTAATATGAAAATATAAAAACACAGCTACATCACTATAAAACAATTAATAGTATTTTCTGGTTGTTATTGATTCCAATTGCTAGAATTGTGAGTAACATTTATACATGCACAATTGCTAATGGATGGCTAATTTTGCGGCGTTAATTTTACTACACGCATTTTACAAACGTGAGGGAGAACTGCATTTGTGGTGTATACAATGCAAGATTTCTGAATAATCAGCGTGGCTATTACAAATGTAATACTTTAACTCCGCCTAGAAATACCGCTTAAGTTATTCTATTTCATCTTGATGCATCATTTAGTAAATGATTTTTTTTGGTGTGTTTTGAAATTTACTGACAGCAGATTGGAATGAGGCATCTGCTATCCCTGAAGTCCTTTCCAGCACAAATTACAAAGGTTTCTTAGTGCCCTGTCTGTGAACCTATTTTTGCATCGGATGTCATTTCCTGCTAGATTTAAACTACAGCGTGGGTATTCCAAATGTAAAAAGAAAATAAGTTTCAAGCAATCATTGATAAGCAGCAGATCAGTTATCCGGAAACATGCCTGCATTTTCCGAAGTACCTTATGTAGACAGAAAAGCTAGAGAGGCAGCTAACATTTTCTCTAAATCTTCCAACTGCTCCCCAATTCTATTCTTGTATTGCACTCCTCCTACTTGCGGAATAATCGGCCTCTTGAGCGCAGTGCTGTCAATGCTACATTTCATGGTGAAGAGCTTTCGTACCTCACTTTGAAAATTCCTTTGGGCGTTTGATGCAGCAAGTAAAAATGCCCAGTGGCCATACTGTATGAAGAGTATGATCACTCAAAATCCTCAATTGTATCAGACATTTCTATAGTAAACTGAAATCAAGGAACATTCACGGGGGCAATAAAAACAGTTGCGCATGAAACCAAAGACTACAGCATCTGAAGGATTTTGCCTGGTTATGGGTATTCACACCCCTTTATGTTTGACACAGAGGTGCAAGTTTAGAGAGATCTATATTTGATGTATTCGGAGAACTGCATTGACCTGCTACGCATTTGAACATAATTTGTTGCTATTGACTTTTAAGGATATCATCGGATTATGTTTCGCGTGGAATTCACAAAACAAATAATCGTGACCTTGTTCTGGGAGTTGCACTTTAATACAATATCAAGGGAATTCTGCACGCGTTCAGAGGAATCAATCTGCTCACATACCAATACACAAGCACAACACTGAATGTATTTCAAGTTCCTTGTCAGTGATCATATTCGTAGGGAATATTCCGCGATTGTAACTGACTACTAATGTATTATATAAATCTTCCCGTTTTGAGCTAGCAAATCAAATCTTGCCAATCATAACAGACATTGCTTTAAGAACTGTTAACATATATAATTCGGAAATCTGCTTGGAGTTAAGCACGTACATCGTTACATTAGAGTAACAGTTACTTCATGCAGTCTTTAACAAATTTACTCCAGAAGCTCTCTCAATATCAACAAGAAAGATTTTTGTACGTATAATTCCCAAACTCCCCGTGTCTTTATTCCCCCAAATAACTAATACTTCAACTTATAATTATCAACCAAGTCCTTATATTAAGGGACTTCAACTATTCACGCTTTTAATCCATGTATCTATGTTTGTTTTAACCCATTAATCACTGTAGCACAATACATAATGCATGCCAGAAATGACGACTTTTTGTGTTAATTCAATATTTGAAAATATCAAATTGGAATCTAAGCATTACTCATCATCCTTGGTAGTGTAACAAAACATTCCCTTGAAACATTTTCACTTCCAAAAAAGTTGCGTTTTTTTTATTTTTTAAAAAAAGACGAGTTATGCACGTTTCTAAAAATGCAGTTAACCTGCTGGAAACGGTGGGACATTCTTGGAACGCGTCTCGAGTTTTGAGCCACGAAATCCACACTAAGGTGTCGCTTTTAGATTATTACTTCGATCTTTGTCAGTGCACAAACCTGTGATTTGCTCTTTTCACCACGAGGAACGAAAGGTCTATTTGCTCTTTTCGACCATGAAAGCAGAGAAACGTTGCTTTATTATCTGGTGCGTTACTAAGCCTTCTATTAGCGTGCTTCTGATTATCTGATCCTGGGTTTGTTTGCAGGATGCTTATTTGCTCTAGGGTTCTTCCTCCTTTTTTTTGGAGGCACGCAACTGCGAATCATAATCTATGGTTGAATTACGGTAGAAAATTACATGCATCTTGTACCGATTAATTGCCTTCCAGCTAATCGCTTCCTAGTGAAAACCGAGGTGCATCTTCATGACCAGATTGGACAATCATGCAGTTAGCATTCCACTTGGTCATTTCCCCATGCTGATATTTGCGTTAGGCACGGTACTCTGGTTCATTCATTCACTGACTCCAAGATGCCAAATTTTAAAGTGAAAGTGAAATCCTCACACGATTCCTGTTTCAATTGTTATTTCAGCCAGCATTGATGTCATTTCATACTGCACCGACATTCCGGTTTACTGAGAATAGCTTTACGCAACATTGCACGGCTTGGGGGAAAAACTGAGACTTTTTTATAAATTTGAAAAAAAGCCCGATCTGAAACAAGCAATCTCAATCAACATGCGCATGGTGCATTGTCTTCATCCAATGCATCAGCCACTTACCTTTGGAGGTGAAGCTGTGGTTAAAAAAAGCAAAACCTGCTGATAATGTTCTTTACTAGATCCGTAATCAGCGGCGTCCTACCATTCGAGTTCAAAGCGGGTAGTTCACAGTGTTTGATGCAGATCCACTCGGTCTGGATGTATGATGTGCAACAAGGCTCGCGTCAGCTCTGGCTGATGGGGGTAGCTGCTAAGGCAGGAAGGAGTCTGAGCGCCAGCCCCCGTGCATCATACACTCCATATATTTGCTTTATTTGAGGAGTAGTAACGTGGTTAGTTGATGTCATATGGTCTGAGTCTGCGCGACTAAAAGCAGCCCGCCTACCGTGCAGGATGTGCTGCCGACAGAAGCTGCTCACTTCTCAGCTCTCGGTGTGACACCAAATGTTCACTACCTGATGCGGTCAAGAGGGAAATATCTTACAATACTAACCTCGCCACACAACTTCCCTTTCATTGCTTCCACTGGCATTATCTCGGCACAAACATCGAACCCCTTTAACGTCTAGGATTCCACCATTACATTCATTTGCAACTGAACTGATACTTTTGACAGCTACATCAATTCCCCGACCTTGCGCGTTCAGATACAGTTCTGTTGACAACATCAAAACATTCACAGAGGAATTGCTAGGACGATGATAGCTAAGCAAGAAATGTCAAGGAAATGAGCTAGATTGATTTCTCCGGTTCAAACGACTTGGGCAAGGAACGAGGGCACGCGATTTTCACATTCATACGATGTTTTCGTTAAAAAATAATCGTGGCTTGAACACTTTTCCATTGGATAAGTGCGACTCAACCAATCTTGGTATGTTGCATAATAGTTGAACATTCCAGTCACGTCCATTCTGCTGCTCTTCGGTGCCAGTGCTATAAGGGACCACATTTTGTTTGTTATTATGGTGCAAAACATTACATTGAAATTATCCTGAATTCAATTGCCGTTTAGAATATCCTTAATGCAAGTCTGCATATATCTCAGAATTACTGTTAGATAATGATGGAATTAAGGTATTTAATTTCCAAAATCCAAATAATTCGGCTTTCAAATCGCTACTTAGAAAATTTAAGCATCAGCAAAATCGAATGTCATGTTCACAACAACATTTACAAATGAAGCAAAGGAGCTGATTATTGGGCTTAACACATCAGTTTCCACATTATACCATATCAGCATGAGGTAAAAAAATAGTTTGTGGGACCTTAAGCGTTTAAAATATTATTTGCAGTAACTTTGCTTTTGAGGATGAATAATGATGTTTTCTTTCCATATTTTTCACAGTGAATGGCAAAAAAATGGCTGTTTTATATAAACAACCATTGGGACAAACTGGATTGTTTGTATTTTCAGTGACGTTTTCATGCATTTATTTTCTAAATTTTATTCTGACAACACTTCACATCCGACTTCGAAACGTATTCACATTTGTTTTTCTATTGCCTGTTATTTATGACAACATAAAACTTGTATTGTGCAATAGAATAAGCATTCAGAAAGGACAGTTCTCCAAGGTTTCAGGGATTATTTTTCAGTGGAGCGTCAATAACCACTCGCAGTTACCGATCCGAACAAGCGTTTTCACGAGGCTTTCGATACTGAGTTCACGTAATATTTCCTTTAACTCATTAACCCTTTCCCACATCAATCATTTTCCATTAATGAGAAACTGCTTCTGAAAGCTTACCAATCTCCAATTAAGGCAGACGTAGCCAATGGGGTTGACTAAAAGTGCATAGAAAAGATTCTCACATTTCATTTAATTCACTCATGGGATGGGGTGTTAATGGCTGGCCAGCATTTATTGTGCATTCTTAGTTGCCCTGGAGAAGGTGGTGGTGAGTTGCCTTCTTGAACCTCTGTAATCCATGTGCTGTAGTTTGATCCACAATGCTATTGGGGAGAGAATGTCAGAATTTTGACTCAATGATACTGAAGAAAATTTTTCTAAGTCAGGATGCTGAATGGCTTAGAAGAGAACTTGCAGTTGGTGGTGTTCCCATGTATCTGTTGACCTTGTCTTTTTAGAAGGTAGTGGTTGTGAGTTTTGAAGGTGCTACCTCAGGAGCGTTGAAGAATTTCTGCAGGGCATTTTGCAGCTGATGCACTCTACTGCTACTGAGCATTGGTGGTGGAGGGAGTGAATGTTTATGGATGTGGTGCCACTCAAGTGGGCTGCTTTGCCCTAGCTGGTGTCAAGTTACCTGAGTGTTATTGGAGCAACACTCATTCAGGTAACTGGGGACTCTTGCATCACACTCCTTACTTGTGCCTTGTAGCTGGTATGCAGGCTTTGGGGAATTAGGAGCAGAGTTACTTGCCAAAAGACTGCTAGCCTCTGACTTTCTATTGTAGCGACTGTATTGATTGAGCAAATCAATTTCAGTTTCTGGTCAATAGCAACTCCCAAGATGGTGAATGTCAAGGTAAGTTAGTTAAATTCTCGCTGAGCAAGTGTTGCTTGATAGCACTGTTGATGACACCTTCAATCACTTTGCTCATGGGGTAGTGATTGTTGTGTTGGATTGGTCCTGCTTTTTGAGTACAGGAACAGGGCATGTCTGAGAAACTTTCCACATTGTCAGATAGCTGTTAGTGTTTTAGCTGTACTGGAACAATTTGGCTAAGGATGTAGTAAGTTCTGGAGCACAAATCTTAAGTACTACTGATGGAATGTTGTCAGGGCCCATCACCTTTGCAGTTTCCAATACCTCAAACCATTTCTTGATGTCATGTGAAGTGAATTAACTTGGCTGAAGACTGGCATTTGTAACACTGGGGATTTCTGGAGGAGTTTGAAATGGATTATCTGCATGGCACTTCTGGCTGGAGACTGAGAATGCTTCAGCCTTATCTTTTGCACTGATGTGCTCAACTCCCCTATCATTGAGTGTTCCAGCAAAGCCCAACACAAGCTGGAGGAACAACACCTCATTTTCCGCTTGGGGACCCTACAGCCCTCCAGACTCAATATTGAGTTCAATAATTTCAGGGTCTAAACTCTCCCATGTCCCAGCCCCCCATCCCACACACCAGGCTTTGTTACCACATAGCCTGCCATTACACACCTCCTGTTGTTAATCACTAACAGTCCCCATTAACAACTATTCACCCTCCCAGCCTGATTGTTAGCAACACCTTTGTCTGTCCAACTGTCTTTCTCTCTCTCTTCGGGCTCTATCCTAACGTTTACTCCCTACTCCACCTACCTACCTAGTTTCTGCATATAAACTGATGTTTTCCTGGCCGTTCTGAGGAAGGGTCACCGGACCCGAAACGTTAACTCTGTTTTCTCCTTCACAGATGCTGCCAGACCTGCTGAGCTTTTCTAACAACTTTGTTTTTATTTTCCCTCTTGTTGGTTTCCTCACCATCTGCTGAAGTCTGAAGCTACAGCTGTATCCTTTCAGACTCGACCAGCTTGATCAGTACTGGTGCTGTTAAGCCATTCCTGGTGGTGGACATTGAAGTCCCCCACCTAGATTACATTCTGTGCTTGTCACCTTTGGTGTTTTGTCCAAGTGATCAACTTGGAGGAGTATTGACTCATCAGTTGAGCATCGTTGCTTTGTGGTAACCAACAGGAGGTTTCCTTACCTGTGTTTGACCTGATGCTGTGAGACTTCACAGTTTTCAGAGGCAATGTTGAAGTCTCTTCAAGTAGCTCGCTCCTGATTGGTATACCATTGTGCTGCCACCTCTGCTGTGCCTGCCCTGCTCTTAGAACAAGACATACCCAAGGATGATGATGGTGGTGTCCAGGACATTGTTTATAAGGCATGATTCCATAAGCATGGTTATGTTAGGCTGTTGCTTGACTAGTCTGTGAGACCGGTCTCCTGATTTTGGTACTAGCTCCCAGATGATAGTAAGTGGGATTTTGCAGGATTGACAGAGTTGTGTTTTCCGTTTCAGTGCCTTAGTCGATGCCAGGTGCTCTGTCCAGTTTAATTGCTTTTCTTAAGGCCTTTTAGTGGTTGATATAACTGAGTGGCTAGCTAGACCATTTCAGACGGTAGTTAAGAGTCAACCACATTGCTGTAGGTCTGAAGTCTCATTTAGGTCAGACCAGGCAAGGATAGCAGATTTCCTTCCCTGGAGGATATTAGTGAACCAAAGGGTTCATGGTCATCATTAGACTATTAATTCCAGATTTTTAAAATTGAATTCAAATTCCAACATCTGCCATGATGGGACTTGAACCCAGGTTCCTAGAATATTATCGGACTCTCTGGATTACTAATCCAGTGATAATAACTTTGCCATGCCACAAACAATTTCCTGGTTCCAGAGCAAAATGCTATCACACCATGTGAAGGAGGTTGTCTTACATTGCTTGTGAATTACGTACTTGAATACACAGTTATTATGCTGTATTTGAGTTTTCTGCTCCTGAAAACCCTCACGAATGATGAATTTGCGAGTGTGGTGCTTAATAACTTGGTAAAAATAGTTATGTGCCCAGACCCCAAGATTATGACATTTCACTTTTTATTTTAGGGGTTTTTGGGTCAAAATAATAAACAGTAAAATATCTGAAATAAAAGTTAATATTAATAGAATAAAATATTTTTTAAAAAATGGTAGTGTTCACCAATAAAGACAAGAAGTTCTACGTACCAGGGCTAGGGGCTGTTGGGGGAGGTTATGGGTGTTTACTGAATGTGGAAGGGGAAGGACAGTGCAGATCTGCCTCCCTACAGGCCACTTTCCCCAATGATATGTCGCCCTTCTCTGTCTCCATTTGGCAGATGTTCTCAATGCTTTCCTTTCAAACCTGTTCATTCTCTCAAGCACCTATGCTGTTGCTTGTGGAGGGTTGAGGTGAAGAGCTGCATACTGGAACAGGTCAGAGGAATTGTCAGCATTGTTTGTTGTGCCTGCCGCCAGATATCCTTTGGAGGTGCTCAACGCTTGCCGCCTCAATCGCCCTCTTGAATTTGCAGATCGTGTTGATGCGTTTAAGCAGAGATGACCGCTTCGCTGAAATAAGAGGATTGACCTTGGGGAGATAGTCAATGTCATTGTTGCCATCATCGAGCCCGTTGTTATCCATCTTGTCCAACTCCTTGTTTGTTTGTTCCTCTGCTGTTTCGTTCAGAATGTCCTCGACTTTGTCTTCGCTTATGTCTTCAAAGCCTTCCCCTTTGATCTCCTTGGCCAGATGTAGGATGATCTTGACAACATCATAAACACTGAGAAAGCCTTCAAAGTTGGCCACACGGTCAGACCAAACCTCCTCCTTGC